CTTTAAAGGATATCCCCAAGTCGACTGCTTGTTAAAAAAAAAAAAATCGTGTGGCCTGGCAAATTGTTTGGCACTTTGTTGCAAATGTTTTTCGGTTTGCGCAATTCATGGGCCTCCAAAAACTGACCCTTTATTTGCTGGGTTCACCTTGTTTCATCTTTTTTTTCTTGTTTGTGGCAAGCAATAACTTTAGGGCTTTGTTTTGCGCTTCAAGTTGGGATCGGTATCGTCTCTTGAATTCTTCAGAACTGATCAATGCCACAAAATTTGAATTTACTGTTGCAAGTCATTGTTTTTGCAACGATTTTGCGTCGAATTAATTTGAATTGAATCAATCATCATAATTCAAAAGAATCGAATCGATCGAATGCTGCTGATCAATCCGACTTGGCATTTGGACACCGATTGACAGCCGCCCCACACAGATTGCAGATCTTGGATCTGGGATCTTGGGTCTTGGATCACAGATTTCTAATCTCAAATCGCAGATCGCCGATCGCATAATAAATGTCCTACGACTGTCAAATGCCATCGAAATGTCAGTGCAACTTGGTCAAATGGCATCGCCAGCAAAGTATTGATTTCGATTCTCGATCACAACGTCAAATTGACAATTTTCGTTATTGGACTTACATGGATCGCACAATAACCTTGACTTTCAAAACAAAATGTCAGCGAGGGGAATGACTTGGGCATGCAAAGCACATAATAAAAATAAATAAAAATAAAGACAATAGTCAGTAAATAAATAGACACACAAAAGAAGCCAGCAAAACAGAAAAACATTCGCAGTCAATCAATCGGACAAGCCGTACAAATTGTACATTTTAAACGGATCAAAATGATTTGGCAGAGGCGGAGGGGATAATGCTGATCAAGGGGGCGGGGCTGTTCAATTAGAGTCACACCATCAATGATCTCAAGGCAAGCATTATAAAAAAAAAAAAAAAAAAAAAAAACCTTAACGAAGTTTAAATCTGGTGACGATCTCACACTCGATAAAAAATGAAAGATGTTAAGCCCCTGTATCTCTGGTATTAAATAATTTTGCTGAAAGGCGACCCGAAATTCTTAAATTATACAATTTTTTTCATTTTATCATGTGCTGAAGATGTGATTTTGTGGACCCCAATTTTATACTTTCAGAATTTCATCCTGTATTTATAACACTTTTATCAGATACATTTCCAGTACGATTCATTACCTGCAAAGCTCTAAATACCCAGTCCAAAACACAAACAGAAACAGAAATTAAAACCCAGACGAATAAACAGCTGAAACAAATTACCAACAATTGCCATTAAAGTGTGTGTTCCATTACCGTTTAATTGACCCGTTCTGGTCACTTATCTCTTTTACCACAAAATCAATCAGTTGCTTGAAGATCTTTTTTTGGAGGGACCAATGTCCCCAGCTTTTGGAGTCGAGTGTGATTGATTGATGGATAAGGCGATAAGACAACCCAAAGAGGCCCACTCGAAGAGCTTGATAATCAATCCCCCAGCATCCAGTATCCATTGTCTATTTATCCATTATCCAGCTAAAAGATACTCGCGGAATGAGACGATTGACGGGGCTACTATACTCGCAGTTTGGCGCACCCAAAAACCAGCAGTTCTTTTAGAGATCAATTTCGAGCGATAAGATTAGAGGGCGGCCAATTGAACTGAACCGAACCGAACCGATCCAAAACGAACTTAACTGAACGGACTCAAACACCAACAAAAGCAATGCAAAAACGCCCACGCCAAAAGGCCCAGACACAGCAAAACTAAACCCGACTTTTGGAGCAGAAGTTGGCCAAAACAGAGCCAGAGCCAGAAGTTTGGGCCAAAAATTCCTCAACTCAAGTTGAGAAACATACAGTGGTCGAGAATAAGCTTATTATGGTTATACAATAGTTCTTATTCAGTTCTTATTAGTTCCGGTTTTGATTCATTGTTCGTTTTTTGCTATTTTTTTTGTTCGCAAGCTTGGCAATTTATGAATTATTATGCCTGGCAATTCAATATATATACTTTTTGATAAACAATTGACATTTGGGAACAATTAACATACATTGCCTTCGTGTTAACAAGTTTTTGATTCGATATACTTCAATATAATACATATTAAAATATAATACATTATTTTGTTTTACAATATTCGTTCTTTTCGATGTTTTCACCAGATTTTCCATTTTACAGCGTGCATATAAATATATTTTAACGTATTGATTGAGGTTTTTATATTATACTGCTGTTTCGTTGGACTTGTCTTCAGTGCTCTATCGATCTCCCGCTGACAGTTTCCTTCCTGCGCACACTGTGAGCTGTCCGCACACTTCCCGGAGCCACTGTCTCCCGAGGAATATGTGTTGGCGTCGTCGGCCGATTGGTTTCAATTTGTTTCCCATTTAAACACACTCATGTGGCATGTGGCCCAAGTCGATGTCGAAGTTTCGACGCGGATCGTATGCTACACACAAATAAGGAAGCAATTTGCTTCTCTCTTTTTTTTTCCAGCCACAGACTTCAAGTGAGGAAACGAAGCGAGACTCAAGTGAACTGGGCAAAAATCTGAGCTCCAAACTCGCAAATTCGCAGACAAATTATGCGCAACGCCGCCAACGCAGCGCCAGTGGAATAATCAAAAAATCCAAAACTCAAAAAACAAAAATGAAGTAAAATAAGGGGTAGAAAAACCCCTGAGTTCCATGCCAAAATTGGGCAATCGAGCCAAGAATTTCTGCGTCTGGCGCAATCGTGTTCAATCGTTTATTATTTATTATTATGCATGCCAAGCGACACCTTTGCGCTGATTGATTGACTGACGGATTGACTGAACAATCCCCGTAGATATGTTCCTGGATCCAGAGGATATATCTTTACCTGTCACATGTCAAGGACGAAAATGACGATGATGATGATGGCTGCATAAATTTGCATAACCAGAAATGCCAACAATTGCAAATCATTGAATCAATTGGAGACAAAGCTTTCACAGACACTTAACCAATAATGTAGTAAAATAGTACAATTAAAAATTAATTACAATTATTGAAATATTTGTATTATTAGGATTAATCTCTTTTCACCGTCACATTCATATAATTTATAATTTAAAAAATACTTTTAATTGGTTTTTTTAAATTTGCATACCCTATATCAAAAATTTAAAATTATTTACAATTTCGACAAACAAAAATGAACAAAATTTAACTATTTTAATTCGATTAAATACTATATAAATACTTCTAATTTTATAAGAATTAAAATTATAATTAAAATTTCTAAAATATCCCATAGGAACATTTCAAGTGCATTGCTTGTAGATGTATTTAAACTAAAAGCATAAAACTATATATCAAATAAATTTAAATTTGTAAAATAACTATGGAAACATCAAATAGTAACTGTTTTGAGTGCACAGTCAACAGAAAAGCCCCGTGACTCATGTTCCAGCAAAAGGAGCACTTGTAGTCCAGCATTTTCTTGAAGTGCAACTACAACAACAGCTGCATGTTGCATGTTGCATGTTGCTGGCGGCAATGTTGCTCTTCATATTTCAGCGGCGCAACTCTGTCGCCATCCATCGCCATCCATTCGTCGTGTTAGTTTTTTTTTGTGGACCGCCGCTTATCGCGATTTGTAACAAAATGCTGCTGAATAATTTTCGTATTTTTTCTTATTTTATTTAATTTATTTCTTTTTTTTGCAACAGCAGCATTTGTTTGTTGTCTGCTGCCAGCTTTGTTTGCATTTCAATGTCTCTCTGGGGTCTTTGCGTAAATATTTGCCATTTTATTGCGGCTATCTTTATCGACATGGGAGCCAGCAACGAATTTTAATGTTTAATTAGCCCATTACGAGAGCTCATCTCATCCGATGATCGTTTGAAAAAACAAAGCCTAATGAACTTCCGTTTCGCCTTGGCCAAGTCTGAAAACTAGGCTGGGAAAAAAGCCAAAAAGAAAAGCTTAATTGGCAGGGAAAAATATCTGCGGGTTTTACAATTTAGTTTAGGGTAGGATTTTATCACGATGGGTTCTAAGTTTCATAAGAAACTAATTGGGACAATTGTTATGAGAGTCTGATTAAAATAAATAATTTTTTGAATACACTTCTTCTTATCGAAAACTTAAATTATTTGATTGCCTAACTAAGCAGACCATTTATTTTGTTTTAAAAAGCTTACCACATCAATCCTTAAATGTTTTTAATTTCGGAACCATTTCAGCTATTTCCAATGTAACACAAATCAAATCACCACCCGCTGATTTTGGAAGATGATTTCGAGAATCTATCGATTATATTCGTATTTAAATGCAGATTCAATTCCAAAACAGAACCAGTTCTCCATCTCGAATCTCTGAAAACAGACTGCTGATTGCCTCTAGTTACCCCATAATCAAGTTATTCGTGCGCATGTCAGCCGTATCTCTCCATCTAAATCAAGTGGCAAACATTTGACATTGTCTGCATCTGATTCGCATTCGTGGATTCCAATTGATTGCCAGAACAGAGCGAAGCTTAACAGCTAAAGCCGATCCGAAACCGCATCGGAATAGCAGTAACAAATTTGCATTTAATGGTGGTCATAAAGGTTTTTCGCTGGTGCGGTAAATGACTGCAATTAACAGGCATTTTTCAGCATTGCCCACGCACCTTAGATGCCTCCGAAAAAAAAAAAATGAAATATCACAATCGAGTTCTCCACATGTTCTCAAGTACCTACCGCCTGTCTTCGGTCTTATGTCCCCATCTTCTGTCTTCAGTCTTCTGTCTTAAGTCTTCTGTCTTCAGTCTTCTGTGTGTGCAGTGATTGTTGTTTTAATTAACGAGCTCAACTCGAAATCAATTGCTTCCAAAGCCATGCATTGCTACACCGAAAATAACAAATTGTTTCATAAAGTGCTATGAAAAATGTATTGCCCCAAAAGTGATACCAGCAAATATATAAACATACCTACATGTATGAACAACGTGAGATCGTATACAAATAATTAAATTGTTTTAAAATACACGATTGATGAAAAATTTAATTAAATAATTATTTGAACGCAATTATTTTGGTGGCTCTGCGGTGATGGCTTTTGACCCTTCATCACTGCCAGTTGGCCAAATGTAAACTAGTAAGATTGCAAGTAGGATTACGGTGATAACGCACAGAATGAGCATCATCTTCACATTGGACCACCAGTGTTTGCGTTTCAATCTTCCAGCCTGTCGAAGAAATTGGGAGGCGCCCAGTTCCAGATTATCAGCTCGTTCCGATAGTTCCGATAGCCCCTGATCACGTTCCAGGACCTTCTCCACATTCACTCTCATTATCCCGACCACCTCGTCCACTTGGGCCCGGGTGTCCAGAAGTCTTTTCTTGGCATTGTCATTGGATCCGAATTGGAGCTCCTTCATTTCCATTTCCTCGTCCATTTTTATCATTCCCATAGAACAATTTTGTGTAAACATTTGAGTTTGTTATGGCAGAACGCTTTGACTGCAAAGCACTCCTTGATGAGAATTAAAAAGTTTTTACCAAAAAGCTGTACTTAATGAATGAAAAGTGAACAAAAATGTACACATTGTTTCAAAAATCATCCACTCTTATTTTTAATAAATAAATAAAGTGTTCCCCCCAAAACATGCCTTCTTATTTTCATTTTTTTTTTTTGAGTGTTGCCTGGTGTTTTTCTGTTTGTTTCTTTCTGTTACTGATGGGGCTGATCTACTTGAGCACTTCGGCTTGGATTTCATCTGTCTAATCTGCGGTCTCTGCGATCTGCTAGAGACATTGAACACGGCTGCTCCAAATGCTCAATACGGTTGCCAGTTGTGCCAGCTTGTTTATTAGCCCAAAAGCGAAGTGAGTTCGCCTGTTCGCTCGGCATTCGCTTTTGGATAATTATTTATTAAGGTTTTACATAACGCAGCCATCTGTCTGTCCCTGTCCCTGTCCCAGAAAAAAAAATACACCACATACACTAACTTTAACCAATTCAAGGTTGTTCTTGCATCGACGGCGAAGCAAGAGATATAGATACGGCTGTGCAGGTACACAGGCAAAAAACTTGCATATTCTTCGCACTGTCGCCTCAAGCTGTAAACTATAAACTAAATTTAAATTTAATTGCAAGATAAGCATGACATATTTCAATGCATTTTATTTAAGATAATACCACGTTTAAATAACTAAAAGAAATTCCTTAAAATTTTACAACTTATGAGAGTAAAGATTATTTATTATAATTCAACGATTATTTACAAGTCTCTAAAGAATTTTTCTCTCAGTGACGCCTTAGTTACAGATGCAAATGCAGAAACAAATGCTTCATGAGATGTGAGGATGAGCCGGCGTTTTGCCAGCTAATGGATAGAGATATTAGTTTTGCGAATGTCGAACTTGTCCCTGAACCGTGAACTCTCCGTTTAAAACCAAGATCTTTTAGTTTGCGCCGTCAACTTCGGCTCAACGTCTTAACTTGGATTTTTTAAGCACTGAAAATATTTGTTAATTTTAAAATGTATTTTTTATCAGTGTTTGGAAATTTATTTCTCATGCTGAAGAACTCTTTTTTCGTGCTGAAAAAAACACAGCTTGTAATGTTACAAAACAAATGTTATAATTCTTTTCCAAGAAAAGAAAAACAAACTAACATATTGAGTGATATCAAAGGTATTTATTGGGAAAAAGTTTCAGTGTTGAACCAAAATTTAGTAGGGTTTACTGCTCCAGGGGTCATGGGTCACCGCAGGTGACCCACTCAAGCGAACCGCATGCACTTGGCCTTTTGTGTGTAGGTTACAGCGCCGTACTCCTCCACAATCTGGTCGATGGCGATCTTATTGAGATTCTCCAGATAAAGTCGCGTCTTTCGCGACTGGATGATATAGCTGATGACGTCGTGCATGTTGTCGAAGAAGAGGAATCCGGCGGTTCCGCAGCTGAGGTCCAAATACCGGAATCTATTCACGTCGCAGGTGCAACCATCGTACAGGAAGTAAATGAAGTCATTGTTGTTGTGATACCGGAAGACCACATAGTTGCCCCATGGGGCCATCACGAAAACCCTTTCGGCACACCGGAATCCGGCCCTCAGCAGCTTGCAGATGCTATCGTAGCACCCATTCTCCGATCCCACCACCGCCATCGTTTCCGGAATGCGAAGTAGTGCCGGATAATGATTCGGCTGGGCCCGGAGCACGTCGTGGGGTCCGCTAGATTCTGGACACGCGTCGAGTGGTTGCATCTGCTTCGGTGGTTCCGGACACGGGGGACATGGTGGTGCTTCGATGGGAGCCACCACTGCGGCGGGCTTCTTGCCCTTTCCCTTTTTGCCCTTGCCCTTGCCCTTGCCCTTTTTGCCCATATTTAAAGAGGGGTGGTGGTTTCTTCTCCTAGGTCCTCTTAGATCTTCGGACTATCTGAACTATTGGTATCCCAGAACAAGCAACACTCACAACACGCTTCTGCAATCGCCTTCGATCACTTGCAACTGGAGCACATGTTCTTCCCAAGACAACTAGAAAAATGAAAACATGGATAAATTTAAATTAAACGAAAAGTTGTACAACTTAAAACGTATTAAGTGCAATAAATAAAATTCCATTAATTATATTTAGAAATTAACGATTCTAGTTGATCTCATTTATATATTATTTATTTAATGTTACCTATTAAATGAACCTACCAAATCTCTAATCATACTGTATAAATCTAAGTGATCTGTGGCTTTAATGTGACCTACAAATAAAGCTTAATGAGTTCGCTAAAATTATATGACTTCGTTTGGTTTTCCTTTTATAAAGAAAAGAACCGAGAACCCAATTGTCGTAAGGTACTGTTTGTTTCTTAAGCAGAGGACCAATCCCCTAAATCTTAAGTCGAGTAATCCCAATAACATCACTTCAACTCACCTGAAAGACCAATTAGTTAAACGCGGTTTGAATTTAACACACACTCGACACACCGTTTCTTTGTTGCACTATCTTAAAGTTGGGCCGAAAGAAAATTTTGGTGAAATTTTGTCAAGATTTCTGGTGTAATTTTTTCCGAGATTTTTTTTGTGTGTTTTTGTGTGTTCACAGACGATTTTACTTCTGATTTTATTCCATCTGGCTGTTGGCAGGTAAGCTCACACACTGACAGTTTTGGCAAGGAGCATTGATTTAAAAACCCTTGACTCGACCAAAAAGTGTCTTAGTGAAAGAAAAAATTTAAGACAAGAACATTTCCTAATTTTGCAGAAAATATGTTTTCCCTGTTAGTGAAAAGTTATTTGACTGACAAATTACTATTTATTTGTTGCAAAGTTGACTGTCAGCTTTTCCTCATTTAAAGTTTTGAAAATTCAATTAGAATTCCAGCAGAAAACCGCGAGTTTCGAACACTGTCCGCCCCCTGAATTGCCAACAATTTATTTATTTACACTAAGAAAAAGACTAGATATTATTTATAAATTCTTTTTTAGTTCTTCTATTTACAAATCACTGTTTTAGGGGCCTAATCATTTTTCAAAATAAAATTGCACTGTTAAAATTTCATAAATTTGCAAAGTTTGGAAAAATAATTTTAAAAAAGCCATGCTGAATTTTCTTAAATATTTTGTTGAGTTATAGAACGTGTTAACGTCTAGAGTCTGGTCATCCATCTCTCTGTTCGCATATCTATCCATCTAGGTGTCTGGGCATCCAAAAACTTGCTGAAGCGCAATTTGACGCTAGACAAATGCAAATTAAGCAATTGCCTGCCTGCGGCCATAACAAGGCAGCTTAATTATGTTGTGTTTGCCAAGGAGACACCAGATATATGAGATTTAGTAGCACCATACTATACTACATATTTTATAAAGCCAGACGTGAGGCAGTCACATGTTTTTTGGCAATCAGGTGGGAAGTGCGATTGCAAAAGGATCCTCGTCCGCAAAAAGTGAATGGCTGTCAAGGCAATTAAAAAGTATGCCCACTGTGCACCCGAGACCCTTGACAAAATCCGGGAAAAAGCTAGAAAAGAGGGGGGGTGGGGATATGGGGAAAAACGTATACATAAATTGTGGAAATATGGAAATAATTAAAAGTCAGCCAAACTGACCAAGAACCTGTTGCAATGTGCTGCACTGGACAATGGTTCAATGGATGGAGCGCAATTACCTAGAGCCTCAGGTTACGCACAGTGGGCTGAATGGGATTTTAAGTGACTTAAATCGTAGTTAACCTTAAAATTTTGTACCACTGGCCATAGGAACTTAAAGGATCTAATATTTTTCGTACAACTTTTCACAATTTACTGAACTATGCAAACCGAAAATGTTTATTTAAAATAAAATAGTTTGTTTTACTGAAATGAAAAGTTTTGATTGTAAAACTTCAATTGTGCAGTACTTTAAATAAAAACTTCAAAACAGCAGTACATAAAATAGTGTAAAATAAAACTTCAAGTTTGCATACTGCTTTAAAATAGAAAGTTTTTCTTGAGTTTGGTGTGGAATAATTTGAAAACTCATCGCCTGACTGCCACCAATATTTCACCAAGTGCTTGTGTGTGATTTTTTCGGCTATTTTTCGACAAGACTTTTCACCACAGTGCAATTGGCATGATCGCATGCAAATCTATTAGGTTCCAAATTCCCCCCGGAGATCGCTGACTAATCCACAAATGACTCTCGACAGGCTTAGTTTTGGTCTAGCCAAGTGGTTATGGCTTTTTCTATGGCTGTTTGTTGGTTTTTGCTTTCGTGTTCCTTGGGTTTTTATGCTTGCCTATTTTTCCACCTTTTTTGTTTGCCCAATTTGCGTCATTAATTTGTTTTGGCGCTCTAATCAAACGATGCCGGCGAATGGCGTTACACGTACATGGGAAAATGCTTCAAGTAATAAAAATAAATAACTGTTAATGGAAAATATGCAAAATATAAAAAAAAACTGTAGAATTCATAATGTTTAAATTGTTAGCAGAACTCGTTATATATGATATATAATATCATATATGATATCAATAATTTATTTGGTAGATGGGAACCAGGACATGCCTAATTGCCAAAATATGCACCGCAAAAAGCTATTATGGAACTATATAAGTTTTTATTTTCAATAAATAAAATGAATTCCCAAATATAATAATGACCATAATAAATGGAATAAGATACAAGTCAGATGCTTTGCATAATTCCATGAAATTTATGCCTCAAATGATGCCCATGTATAGATAAGCACGTGAAATCATGCTCTGCGAATTATGCCTGGTATTTTTTTTTTTTTTTTTTCAATTTTTGCGGAGTTGCCATGATGATGACACCGCCATTGCAATCGCAACCACACGTATCCAGTGGGTTCAGTGGGTTCAGTGGTGTCTCTTGGTGTTTCTTAGTGCTTTTGGTGGTTCCAAACGAATCCGAATCCAGTGGGGCACACTTCTTCTACGAGTATTGCTTCATCCGAAAGAAACTCTCGGCTAATGGGGCAACTCAACCTGTCTCGCCGGCAAAACGTGAG